CAGCTGAATTTCTAACTAGCACTAGAGAGAGGATTGAGTGAGTTTTTGCCTTGGAAATGTTGATGTGTGATGTTGTCTCAGTGTTTCCCAGCTATGTAAAATTGTGAAGCATGTTCTGGAGTCCTCCGGGCGATATTCCCGCTAACAGGGATTGAATTCACAAAAGGTGCTCGTAGAAAAGAATACATTATTTTTTTCCTTCTGTGGCTGCACCTTGATCATGTGCTGACTAAAAGGAACGTAGTGATTTCACAGCCTTTTACTTTCAATATCCAAACAGGATGTTATGTGTAACATCATGTGCACTACCCTCATGATATAGGATGCTTTTCCAGTGACTACACGTGGTGAAAGAAATCAAGGCTCTTTTATGTTACTCTCCCGTTTTTTATAACATCTCTTTGGTTTATACTGTTTGTTTTATAATTAAGCAATACGATGGATATATATTAGTGCTTTTTTCATATATTGCACTGTACATTGGAAAGTAACAGACATACAACAGGGAAATACTTTCGAAACTAAAAATATTTCTTTTATATTGGGCCTGGTTCTGATCTCAGTTATTCCAGTATCAATCTAGAATAATTCCACAGAAGGCAGTGGATTTGATTCAGATTTACAAAGATATTGCTGAGAAAAGAATTTGCCTTATGATAGTCTTCAAAAATATAATATTCATCTAACAGATAATAAAGATATGTAAAGCAACGTGGAGGTTTCCTCCTGTTGTGGTTGATGCTCAGATATTTCTAAAGAAGCTAGAAGGTTGCAGTTCAGATGGTCATAGAAGAAACAACTATACTTTGATTCATTAGCTCAAAGCAATTAACATCTGTTTACATTTTCTTTTGAAATTTAAGCAAAAGAGTATCATTTGAAAGGAATTTTTAAAATCTTATGCAGGACTGCTCAAAAAGCGAAAGGTTTATGAAAACTTCATTACATATACTTTCAAAATATTTTCCTAGAGGTTAAAAATTATGCTTGTAAGTGATTAAACTATGTAGATAACTAATGAGACGTGTGGGGATTTATTTCTTGTAGATGAAAACATACAGCCGTATTAAAAATTTTAATACAAACAAAGTTTTACTAAAATTCCTGCAGGTAAATGCGTATTAATAAAGTGGAAACTTCAGTTTGCTTGAGGTACAAAAAGAAAAAAACACACCAAAAAAATCAAATGCAAGATATGCTGTTAGATGCTGAGTTTATATCAATAAATGTCTTGCATCAGCTGTCACTGAACTCGCTGGGTTTGTGTGTTCTCTGTTCACGGCACTTGGCAGTCCATCAGCTCATCCACTTCTCCCATTGACTTCAGCAGGCGCTGGGTTGTAACCCAAGAACGTTAATGCACTTGGGCTCTGGCTCCTTTTTTTATGGACAGTTTCAGAAGCGTTGAAGTGAAAGAACCTCTTCAGGGATACTTCCAACTCGGGTCTGTGAGTCAACAATTTTGAACGATGCTTGTCCTCTTGGGTCCTTCTCTGAGGCTGAACTGGAACTTCAAAATACATATCAGTCTTGTGTTCCTGGTTATTGTCTGAAGGAGATGTGGGGCGGAAAGGTTCACGGGTGAGAGTTTTAGAATTGGGAAACAGGCTGTCCACCACAGGCGTGTCATCACTGCGGCATTAGTTTGACGTACCTCAGCTAATAGTAAAGTTCCCCAGGTCAGCAGCTTGAATCATAGCGTGTAACATCCCTAAACAGGGAGGAAAGTGGTCGTATTAGCAGTATGGGGGAGACCTGTGGTTATCTGTAACCTGTATATATATACACCTGTGAATATATTTTCTCACTGAGATACTAAGAGTGTTTCATGCCTTTCCAAACAGTTCACTTGTTGGCAGCTGCCCAGCTCGTAGGACAGCACCAGTTGGCAGCAACCACAACAGGAACACCAGAGAATCAAAATATTTATCTGGGAAAATATATAAAGATCTTCCACCTGGCCCAGTGCTGATGAACACTGATGGGCAGTCTGGGAGATCGTGTGAGCAAAACTTGCTTTTTCCATCAACAAACCCAGAACTGAAATATTTCATAACCACTGTGGTCATGGGGAGGACATTGAAAACAAAAATCAAGTGAGATGTCTTCAAGGGGGGCTGATCCAAGCGTAGCCTTCAACTTTAGCTGCTAAGGTCTGTCATGGGAATTTACTTTCTTGAGGCCAGGAAAGGAGCAGACTCAAAACAGCTACAGGACATGCTCCTGTGTCAATGACATTAAACAAGTCAGAGCCATTTGTGTGCAAGTGCTCTTACTTCTTCTTGAACCACATGATGTTTCGAGTTGGCACCCTTGCTTGGCAAGCGATCACATCATGAACATGATGAACTGTCTTAGTCTGACATGCATTTTGTCTGTCTTTATGGTTACCTGAGGGTTTCCCTAGATATCATCGGTCCCTTTGTTGTGCCTCTTCAAGATTTGTGGAAGGTGTATTGGGCAGGAGATCGGATGAGATGAGCTCCTGAAGTCCTGTGATCCCATCCTAGCCTAGCTTCTTCAACCAGCACTGACTGGGGATGAGACCATGGTATTTGTCTCCTGGGTGGCCATTCTGCAAAGATGTATGCTTGAAAATCCATTTTTCTGTGTGGAAAGCTTTTGTCTTCCTTCTGCCTTCAAGACCATGAGTTTCTTGAGGCAGGAGTTCTATCTTCCTCTGTATAATGTTCCCCCATACACAACTGCTGTGCATTACTGTACAGACCAGGTGACTTTGCTTCTAGAGTATCTTGCAAAGGCATAGTCCAGTACAAATTTAAAAGTCTCGGGTACCTTCTAGTGCAGAGCCCAGCAAAAACATTCAGATATTGTAAAGTAGAACAAATACATTACTCTAGATCAACGAGTAGCTTTTCTGCCATCCTCTCAGACTTACAGGCTCATGAAGCAGAACGGCCCTCCCTTCTTTCCCCTGCCCTTCTCCAGAGTCACCGATGAGGCTGGTACGTGCTCACTCCTTCTCCTTCCCAGTGAGAATAATGTTCTCCTTGCACATAGGGTCTGTATCAGTGCAATGGGTCACCGCTGGGTTAATTTCATTGATCTTAATAAAGGTGCTTTTGACAGACCAGCCAACGTAGGGTTGAGTTGGGAGATGGATCCTTTGTTCTGCTGTCTGGGGAGAGGCCGGGTGTGTGTGCAGTGTGGCACAGTGTCTTCAACCTGGTGAGATATGTCCTTCTGAACCGTGTTGTGCCAACCTTCTTATTTTAAGTCTTAGCTATGTTCCCTTTTGCTGGAATAAGCATTTCTGCATCAGCTCGCTGCTCTAGGAGGGGAAAATGATACGATTGCAAATGTTTCCATGGGTTGGATGATGCTGCTATTTTCTTTTTACCCTGAAGAGAGAAAAGCTGTTGTTCTTGTCTGTAGGAATGACTTCCCCACAGTCAGAGATGGAGACTTCTGTCCAGGCCTCGCTTCAGCGTGCTGATAAGGAGATCAAGACAGCTCTAAAGAAACTCGTGGACTCGGCGTCACTGCTGGTGACTCTTCCCCCGGGCATGCAAGGAGGAGCCGGTGGCCTTTGCCTTCCTGGGTCCGTTCCTTCAGACCACTCAGAAACAGCAGCCGGGCCCTCTGTGCTAGTTCATGAAGCCAGTACCCAAACCCAGACTGCTGGAGGGCATGGTAGGTTTGGCATCAATCCGGAAAATGTCCCATGGGAGTCAAGAGAGACAAAAATATTGACCGTGCCAACAATGATATTTTTTCCCTCATTTTTCTGTTTCGCTGTGTTTTGAACAGTTGAAGGTTAAGAGAGGACATTCAGACCCAAAGCAAGAAACATGGGGCTGGGGGTTGGGGTTAGGTTGGACACAGGTTTGGGGCAGATCTTTCTGGAAACAGGAGGTGTTTGAAAACTGTGCCTGAAGTAGAGTTTGGTTCATCACCTGTCCAAAATGGAGGGATAGGGGATTTTTTCCACCTTTGGGCTTTTGACCCTGGACTTGCTTCAAGTTTTTTTAGGGGAGAAGGGGGCGTGGGATCCCTCCTTTACATTTATAGAAGTAATTTGTTTTTTGATTTGGTAGGGTGGGTAAGGGAGGTTGTTTTTCTTTTATTGTTTGCCATAAACAAGCTGGAAATGCGTTTAACACCCCTGTATCAAATGTCAGAGACTTTCTAGGATGTTGAGTGTATCAAGTTCACCTGCACTTCACTGGCCCTGAGGCCTTGATAGACTCCTTAGCAGTTTTCATGTGATTAAAACCAATAATGTGTGTGACTGTGTCTTGCCAGGAGAACAAGTCTTTCGTCTTTGCATTGTCTTTTAAAAAAACATGAATAAGCAGCAACCCTTCCACTCTTCCTTCTGCTTCTGCCATAGCAACTTGTCTAAGCTGTCTCTGTGTCAAGTCAGAGTAACTGTCCTCCACCAGTGTTAACTTAAAAGGACAATGTCAAGTAGCCTTCAGCCCTCAAACTCCAGATGCTGTTTAAAAAAAAGATATTCTTGTCTAAAACTTAACAAGGATAGAAATGTTTCATGGAACCAGACCCAAAATAACTGCATAAAAAAATGACAGGGTTTTAAAACCTTTTTTCCTTTCTAGTAGGAAATCATCTGTGAAAATAATCCTGTGGTGAAACAGGATGACTCAAAAATCATAAGTAAAACGTCAACTAGCAGATTATTTCCTTAGTCATAACTACAGAGATAATAGGATAGTGAATGAGATGGTTTTGCAGTCCTTTCATCTGAGCAAGCTAAACGTGTTATTAATATAGGGAATTATTTAAATAAGATGGAGACTTGACAACTGTCCCTATGATCACATGCTTTGAATAAAAAGAAGGCAAATATTTCGATAGTGCTGGCAATAGGAAAGCACAATCGCACCAACCTGGGATCTCTGACCCTGCCTGTAATGCCTTGAATAACCATGTTTTCCATTCCAATAGAGCTGTTTTATGTGATTTCTAGAAACTGCTGTGTGTTTTTCCAAGACCAGCCAGCACCAAGCATCCCTAGAGTGCTCCCCAAAAAGGCCCTTCCTGCTGGGGAGAAGACTCCTCTTGATTTAACCTTTTTTCCTCAGATGAAAAAGGAAATGAGGCACTTTATCCTATGGGGTAACTCCAATGGTCAATATCAAAAGCCAATTAGGTACTTTTGGAATGGAAGATCAAACCAGCTTTTGAAGATATATCTGATAAAATAATTATTAATAAAGAAGAACAATACCTGAACTGCCATCAAGCTGCACCATCTTTTTGTTTCCTTGTTCCTATAAGCCCCAGATGCCAAACCTTGTTCTGGTGTAACTTAGAGTTGTATGAGGACATTTTCAAAGAACCCAGTGGAGGTGCACCAATGCTGACGTTATAACATCACCAGGTCCTCCATATCAGCATACCTCCATATTATCTCCATATTAGTTGTACCCCCAGCCAGGGCCTGCCTTGACCACCAGTTTTACATTGATGTAAGCTTACTCGTTTCACTGATGCTGTCTGTGATTGCACCAATGAGTCAAGAACTGTTCTCATAACGCAAAGTTTAATTGAAGCGTTCATGTGTACGAAGCTAATGCTGGGCATCCCTGGAGGTATTTAAAAGATGTGTAGATGTGGTGCTTAGGGACATGGTTTAGTGGTGGACTTGGCAGTGTTAGGTTAACGGTTGGACTCGATGACCTTAAGGGTCTTTTCCAACCTAAATGATTCTATGGTTCTGTGATCTCATCATAGCCACAAGCTGGAACTCAAACACAGTTAAATTATCTCCTACAAAGGATGTATTGAACTCACGCTATCTTCTCAGTCATCCTATTTCTTCTGACTGCCTTTCCTATTTTTGTCTGTGTGTGTTTCCTTACAGAAAAGTTAGTTTTGGCCAGTCAGCAATGTGCCACCATTCAGTCTCTCTGACGTTATTCAAGCCCTTTGTTTCATGTGGTCTTCTCAAAAGGGCCAAATTCTCCTCTTAGCTTCAGTGACTGCACTCAGCTGAGGTCAAACAGACTCGGTTCTGACACAAGGCAGACTAGAGATGGCTCCAAAGGTTTGCTCTGGGTTTCAGGTGTGCCGTCATAGGTGACGTGTCTAACTTGCCCTATTTCTGCTGCCAGACAAAGCACAAAAGCAGATTCCAGCT